ATGATCTCTGGTGGGAGCGGGATGGGGGTAGTGCATCCATCCTTGCTCTTCTTGACCTCTCAGCGGCTTTTGATAACATCGACCGTGGTATCCTTTTGGGTTGACTTGGGGAGTTGGGAGTGGGCAGCACGGTTTTGCGCTGGTTCTCTTCCTTCCTCCAAGGTTGATCCCAATCAGTGTTGATTGGGGGTGAGAGGTCCAGCTCGCAGCCCCTTCTTTGTGAGGTGCCCCGGGGTTTGGTACTCTCTCTGCTCCTTTTTAACATCTACATGAAACCACTGGGTGAGATTATCCGTCACCATGGGATGAGGTATCATCAATATGCTGATGATACCCAGTTATACATCTCCATCCCAGGTGAGATGAGTGATGCCGTGACCACCCTTTCACAGTGCCTGGAGGCTGTGGGGGTCTGGATTGGGTGCAACAGGCTTCAGTTGAATCCTGGTAAGACAGAGTGGCTATGGATTGGAGGCCCCTCTGTATCCAAGTATTTACTATCTTTGGTTTTGGACAGGATTGCACTGCCCCGGACAGACCCTGTGTGTAATCTGGGGGTCCTCCTGGACTCATGACTCCTGCTCAAGGAGCAGGTGGCAGTCGTGGCCAGGAGAGCCTTTGCCCACCTTCATGTGGTATGCCAGTTATGCTCCTTCCTGGATCAGGAGGCTCTCCAGTCAGTCACTCGCACCCTTGTCATCTCTTGGCTAGACTATTGCAATGCGCTCTACATGGGGCTACCTTTGAAGAGTATCTGGAAGCTATAGCCGGTCCAAAATGCAGCCACATGGATAATTTTGAATGCCCCAAGAACGGCTCATATAATCCCTTTACTACATGAGCTGCATTGGGTCCCAGTCTGCTTCCGGGTCCAATTCAAAGTGTTGGTTATCACCTTTAAAGCCCTACATGGCATGGGTCCAGGTTACCTGAGGGACTATCTTACCCCCATCATATCAACCTTTCCCACCTGGTCAGGCAGAGAGGGTATGTTGCAGGTCCCGTCAGTGAGAGAATGTTGACTGGTGGCACCCAGGAGGAGAGCCTTCTCTGCCATTGCTCCCACCCTTTGGAACATTCTCCCCCCAGAGGTATGGCAGGCCCCTACCCTTCAGGCCTTCTAGAAAAAATTGAAGACCCGACTCTGCCAGCTTGCATGGGGGGATAACAATCCTGGGGGAGACTAGCGCCTTGATCACGCTCTCTGAGTGATTGCCAATTACTTTGGATCTTTTTATTTTGTATTTATTATTGTAATATTGTAATTTTAATTGATTTTAATTGTTTTGTAAACCGCCCAGAGTCGTTTAGCGAGATGGGCAGTGACACATTCAATAAATAAATAAATAAATAAAGTGTTGATGCTTTGTCACTCAGGCTGACATCATCATCATTTGGGGTTTCCTCATGCTAGCTTTTTGGCTTCTCTTGAATTAGTTCATGTGAAAACAAACCATTTCCTGGAGGAGTTGCCCAGGCCTTATTAGTTAAAATTTTTGTAGCTAATTAAGACTGCAAATATCACCAAAGAGTTACTCTGATTAAAGAAAACTATCCACAAGGGAGAATAAGGAAAACTCACCTTATAATGTGCTGGTTTCTTCCCTCCCTCCCTCCCCAGTTCCAGTCTGTGTTAATGGGGAGGGATATCTAGCCCACAGCCCCTGCTTCGTAGGGTTCTGCAGGGTTCTGTAGTCTCCCCACTTCTGTTTAATAACTACATGGAGCCACAGGGTGAGGTCAACCAGTAGAACGGAATGAGGTATCATTAGTATGCTGACAATACCCAGCTTTATATCGTCACCCCTGGCTGCCCAAATGATGCTGTGGAGGTTCTGTCTCAGTGTCTGGAGGCTCTAGGGACCTAGATGGGGAAAGCCTTCAACTCAAGACTGTGTGGTTCTGGGTTATAGAGCCTCCATGTCCTGGGGAAAATTTTCCATCTTTACGGGACCTGTCTGCAACTTGGGGTCCTTCTGGACTTGCAGCTCCTGTTAGAGGAACGGGTGACAGACATGGCTAGGAGGACCTTTACACAATTTTGTATTGTGTGCCAATTATACCTGTTCCTAGACCAGGAGACTCTGCTTACAGTCACTCATATTTTGTCACCTCTTGAATAGAGTTCTACAGTGTGATTTACTAGGGGTTATCCTTGAAGAGTATCTGGAAGCTGCAGCTGCTAGAGTGCAGCAACACAGGCAGTTACGTGCACTCCTTTATCAGTGCAGGTTACATCTCTGCTCCATGAGCTGCACTGGTTGCTAGCATGCTTCCAGGATCAATTCAAGGTACCGGTAATTACCTATAAACCCTTCAAGGCATGGGGCCGGTATTTGAGGGACCACCGCTGTCCAATTATGCCTACCCACCCCATCATATTTAGCAGGAGAGGCATGCTACAGGTCCTGTCCATTAGGAAATGTCTTTTGGTGGGGCCTGGAAAGAGAGCCTTTTCGGTCCCTTTGGAACATCATACCCTGGAGATTAGATTGGCCCCAACCCTGCTGGCCTTTTGTACGGCCTTAAAGTCATGGTTATGTCATCACTGAGGAGCCAGCTCTGTGCCAAAGCCTATACAGCGCTTGTGCTGATTTGTTTGTTGGTTATTTAGGTATTTACCTCAACTGCTGATTTTATATGTATTATTTTTTATTGTTATATATTGTTATGTGGTGTTTTTAACCGCTGCTTGCCAACCAGAGTCATGAGCTTGAGATGGATGGCCATATAAATTTAAATAATGAATAGATTAACTAACTAACTTTGGGAAGGTGGATATACCTTATCCTTTGGCTGATATTCATCAAATGCGGTAGGAGAGTATGTATATTTCTCTGGTAAGGTAGGGATTTCTACTGTCAGCCGTCTCTGTTTTCCTTTCCTTTCTAGCCTGGCTTGCATTTGTCACTCTTTCCACTATGTCAAGCGCCTCCTGGAGACCCTTTTTGTCCACAGATTCTCCCATGGAACAATGCCCTTACGTAACATCTTCAAGGTAAGGACATTTTCAAGCAACATACAGCCTTGGATTAAAAACTGCCCTCCGTTTCTGCTGGGTCTCTTCATGGACCCATGAAGCTGATGCAGTCAGCAGGTCTTGGTTTGATATACTCTGATATACTCTGATACTAGTCTGCTGTATCTTTAATGTGATACTTTTAATTCTTTCCTCAGAATTGCACTTACTATTGGGGCTTTGCAGCCTGGATGGCATACTATATCAATCACCCTTTATATACGCCACCTGGTAAGCTGAGAAGAGAAGAATATCCGTGTTGACCATAGAAGTCAATTTGATTTTTAAGAAGCTGAATATTAAATGAAATTAATGTTTCCTTCCTTATAATTAACCAGAAGTGTGTATTGGGGGAGGATCTCAGAATGGGTTTGCCTGAGATTGTCTACTCTGCCTAGCAGCTAATATGCTGCTCACTGAATGAGTCCTAACAGGTTTATGTATGCTGAACTAGTCAATTGTAGTGGTATAGATTTCTTGCCTTGAGAAATGGCATGAATACATAATTGAGCAGAATTCCACTTTGCTTTCTTTTCTTAAATAAAAGTTTCTAGGCCTTTTAATTACAAATACAAGCTTAAAAACATATTCACTCATTCTCTGATTTAGAACTACGGTTGACATACTTTCTCTCAGAGATGCTTTCTTCATGAGTTACTGCTCTGGCTTGGCAGTTATAGTTTCAGACTAGGTCTGGAGAGAGCTTATTCAAATACTCTCTCAGACATTAAACTTGTTACTTTGGGCCTGTTTGTTACAAGTCAGCTAAACAAAGTTCAAGAAGATTTGAGAAGGTTGAAGATTAAAATCTCAGGGAGAAGGCAGCGTATGTGCCATTTAGAACTCTGTGCAGAGAATACAGGATATAGTTCAGTGCAAATTACTTCAAGTCTTAATTAAAATTTATACCAGCCAAGATATTCCATATCAAAAGTTATTTGATCGTTGAAGTAATTTTTTACACATTCTTGTTTTATTTGGGTACGTCACGTTATAGCTCCTGTATTTTTAAATGTGCTGCTAGTTTTTATATTTTAAAGTGATAAGCAGTAACCTTTCTTTTTAACACTGCTCTGCATGAAAGTGTTTCCCTCTTTTGGTCCTGAATCTCCCTGCATTAAAGGGTTCCAATTTGATGAGAGAGGAAGGAAAAAAACATTATTTATGACATTCATTGCTTGATATGCCTCTGTCAGAGATACTATATTTCTCTACCTCCTTCTATGTTCTAAGTTTATTCATCCTGTTATGAGCCTTTGGTGAGGAACCTTTTATGAAAATCCAAGTATATAATATTTCTTGGGTTATCCTTGTCAATGTGCTTGATGAATAAGTATTCTTTGTTTCATTTGCTGGTTTGATTGTCATATAACTAGTTAGTGAAGGGTGAAAGGAAAAAGAAGGCACTGAAGGGATTAACTAAAGGCTAGAGGCATTCTCCTTGTTTTTTCCCCTTTCTTTATGAATATTAATGTTATATATATGCAGTTATATATAGAGATATAACTGTATAGTTGCTGTCATGAGATTCCCTTTTATTCAGTTGGAAAATCTTGAGAATTCTGTCATTGGGAACTTTTTTCTTCCAGGAACTTTCTAGGCACTCCAGATGTTGTACTTACTCTAACATAGTAATGTTTCTGTTTCTTGTTCTTTTTTCCTTCAGCATATGGACATGAACAAGTGAAATTGGCACTTATCATATTCCTGGTAATAATTTGTAGATTCTTGAGGAATAGCTCCGTATCTGAAATATGTGTAACAGAAAATAGGACAGATGTTTCAGGCAGAGCCTAGGCCAACCTGAAGTGGGAAGCTCCCCCATGCAAAGACAGGTGTTAAAAATCAAGAAGTTATTTGTCTAGAAATAACTGTTATGACTATCTATTTGTGGTATACAACCAGGTCTTATACAGATTGATAAGTTAATATTGGATTTTGTACAAGCCACAGTAATTCCCTCAAGTAAAACAAAGATCAACTGCCTTTTGGAGCAATGGGAAAAAGTCTGGGAGAGTGGAATTAGAACTATTTGCACAATAAAAATGTAGAGATGTGCCTCTCTGTGCATGGAAAAACCATGAAGCAGTCTGCAGTAGTGGAGGAGATGTCATATCTCTGGAAAGGGGTGGGACTTCACTTATTGACATACACGTATTAGGAAGCAGTTTAGCCCTTGGAATTATAAAGTCCTCCTAGGCAAAGGCAGAGTTAGGTCAATATTCTACTGAATGGATTTGGGAATGGATCATGCATCTAGTACTGTTGGCGGGAGAGAAACTGGTTTTCCCTTTCATGTGGGCTTGTGTCTAAGGCCAGAATGTTAGTAGGGCTGTGTAGTGGTTCAGATTCAGTTCCAAAAAGGTGCTTCAGAGCATGCAGAAATGTGAACATAGCACTTTACTGCAACTCTTGAAAGCAGCCATACTGGAATCTTGGAATCATCTGATTGCTGCATGGGGCAGTTCTGTGATCTCAGGAAAAGTTGTGGCTGCTTTCAAGAGTTGCAGAAAAATGCTGTATTTGTATTGTATAATCTTAATTGTTGATTGTGTCTATCTGATGCATTATAAAGAATGAGAAGACAGATTCCCGCCCCAAAGAGATTCAAGGGAAACAACAAAAGAAAAAAAGGCAATAGAAGGAAACAGGAAACAATATGTATTTTTAAAGTTGATTTAGTTACTGGAAAATACTGGGTCCTGAGTTTCTCATCTTAGAGCCAGGATTTATTTTTGCACAGTGTAGAACATCTTATTGGCGCCAGAGTTGTTAAGTTGTTCTGGTGAGTGATACTGTGCATGTAGAGGAAGGGACCAGAAGATTAGAGAGATAAAAATCTCTCATTGTATTGGTACATTCAGAGCTCTGTCTCTTCTTCCAAGAAGATTCGTAAGATTTCTGCAAAAATATTTGAATCACTGATTGTTGAGCTCTGGGAGGCTTCCATGCCACTATCTGGCTTCTGATGGTGATAATAACTATGAAAGATCAGTTCTCCTCCTGTGTTAACACTGGTTCTGTTTCCTCCTGCAGTTCTGTCAGCTGGGAAACTTTTCTATTCATATTGCTTTACGGAATCTTCGCCCTGCTGGTGAGTGCAGAGAAGGACCAAATGGAAGTGTAGATGTCTGTATTAAAAAGGCCCTCTGCCCTGTAATGGGAGCAGCTGGCCTTTAAATAACAAACCAGCCTTATGCGCCCAGAGGTAGTCACCTGACCCCTGAAAGCTGATCAAGGAAAAGAAGGGGGTTCTGTCAGGTTTTGGGTGAGAAGAATTTTGGAGGTTTTTGGAGGTGGGCTGGAATCCTGGGTGTGTGGGTTACCTCAGGCAAAATGAGGAATTGTTTTGTTATAGGCTAAAATCATGTTAGGGTTTTTTGTATTATCTGGTTTTTTTTAACTGTGGAGTGTATGGAACCTTATTTTCTTTGTCACCTTTAATAAAGAGAAGGGGAGAATTTTACAAGTCTGATGCTTTACTCTAACTCTTATGTGAAATGCTAAATGATGGTTTCATATTACATGCAAATTGGTTCTTTGTCTCTATAAACTAAATCAAATTCTTGTGATTTCCTTCAGGTTCAAAGACCAGGAAGATCCCGTTCCCTACCAAGAACCCATTCACATGGCTTTTCTTGCTGGTCTCTTGCCCCAATTATACCTATGAGGTATTACTTTGATTTAACTTTGGAGCAAATTGTAGAAGCTTAAATGTAGATAAATCCTTGCATTTCTCCCATGCATTTTGTTAATGAACTCTGCTTCATAGAAAACATACGGCTCTAGTGACAGTATCTAGGCAAATATTCTGAAAAGCATTACTTTCTTTTTATCTCTCTTTTAATTAAATGATTAACTCTTGTTGCTCAAAAGCTTCCTCCACACTTGATCCAAATTAAAAATTCCTGACAGATGGAAATCTACTTTCATCTTGAAAACATCCAGCAAAGTGGATCATATTACTTTCCCCAGTAATTGGTTCCACTGTTGACTTGCTCTTTCACACTAGTCCTTTTTTTAAAATAAATCAATTAGAATATCCCTTCTTATAATTTGAACTCATTATTTTGTGTCCTGCACATTGGAATGATGGAGAGTAGGTTGTGACCTTGTATATGATAGCCCTTCAGATATTTGAGGGGAGATATGATAGTACACTTCAGTCTTCTCTCAAAATTAAAAATTCCCAATTTCTTCAAATCCTTATTATATAACTTTGATCATGCTTTTTACTCTTCTTTGAGCCTGTTATAGTTTCTCTGAACACTTTGTAAAGTATAGCACAGAGAATCAGAGATAGTGGGGTTTAACTAATACACAGTAAAGTAGAACAATTCTCATCATTTGGAAACTATATTTCTGTTGATGTAGTATAAAATTGATTTTGGGTTTTTTTGCAGCCACATCAAAATAGTTGGTTTGCAATCAACTACTATTCCATGATTTTTTTTGCCAGTACTATTACCAAGTTAGGTACTCCTACCTGATCTTATACCTCAGTATTTAATTTCTGTTTCTTTATGGCAGATTTTGAATTTGTCTCTGTTAAATTTCATTAATGTTGCTTTCAGATCATTTCTGTAACCTGTTGAGATTGTTTGAATTTTGTTTTTGTCTTCAAGTATATTAGCTATGTCACCAAGTTTTGTATCACAAATTTGATAATTCCATCCACATCTTCCCCCAAGTAATTAAAAAAAAAATGGAAAAGTAGAGAGAGCCCAGGACTGAACCTTTTGGACCCCATTAAATACATCATCCTGCTTTGAAGAGAAACCATTGATGGGCATTCTTTGAAGTTTTTTGAGAAGCTGTATATCCACTTGTCATGCCATCCTATCTACACTTAACTACCTTGCTAATCAGAATGTCCTGGGATACTTTGTGAAAGACTTTGCTGAAGTCAAGATACATTAAATCTATAGCATTCCCAGACTGTCTAAGAAAATTACCCAATAAAAGAATGAGATAATATTAGTGTGATGAAACTTGTTATTACCAAATTCACGCTGGTGTCTGTTAATTATTGCCTTGCTTGCAAGGTGTTTTTGGATTAATCTCTTTAAGATCAGCTCTCAGATCTTCCCATCTATCAGATTAATGTGTAATTCCCTGGATCCTTTCCCCCGTTCCTGAAATAGAAACACATCTGAGCTCCTTGTGTCATGTGGCACCTGTTCTCTAGAATTTCTCAGAGTTAAATAAAAGTTCAGCCAGTCCATCAGCAACATTCTTGAGGTCCAAATGCGTTGCATTTTAGGGAATAGAAAATGTATACTCATCTGAAGTAAATAGATATTGGCTGACCATATATTTGTCAGTCTCAAGCTTCAGTCCTGTTTGTTCATGTTGTCTTTACAATTGCTAGTGGAACACACATGATCTTTTCTGGGGAAAATAGAGACAAAATAGGAGTTGAGTAATTGTTGGCTTTTTGCCACTTTCACTGAAAAGCTGATTTTGTTCTCCTTCAATTTCTCCTCCCTTTTTGTTGCTTTTGCTTTTGAACAGTCCTTCAGTTGCTGTATTCTAATATGTGACCGATGCCAGCAAGTCTGTGTTATACATATTTAATCACATTTGCCTTCTAGTACTAAGAGTTTAAACTCATGTAGTTTAAACTCTGTGTGTTAGTGCATAGGTAGTAAAGGCTATGAATTTTATGAGCCATTGTAGCTTCTGATGTTTTATCAGATCATTTATCATTCCCTATTATAGCAACATTCCTACACCCTTCTACAGTGTGCACATCTTTATCTTAGGTTTCCAACACCCATAGGATTCATTTTAAAGCCATCCTGATGAAGTTTGCTGTGTTTCAGCCAAATGTTTTTTTACCAGCCCTTGTGTTGCAGTCCATCTCATATCAGCAGTCAGTCATCCAGACAGCTCAGGCCATGGTCCCTGAAAGCAATTCTGTCCTATCAGCATAAATGGGAACATTATCATGGCCCCCAGGTCTTGAACACTTTTCCTATATTTTCACTGTGGTGATATGATTATGTTTATTTCTTACAGTACCATTTGTGCTCACATGGTTTGGGATGAAGGGATAATTGTCAATGGACTTGACAGATTTGGAAGTTATTCTGTCATACATCTCTGGTCAGTCAACACACTGTTACATGATGGTATTCAGCACGCTTCACTAGTCAGCATGTCTGGTTGGCACACATTTGTTTCGATTTCTCACAGTGGTGGCTCACCACATACCATGACTGTTCTTGTCTCTGCCCTTTTCTTTGATCTTCATCATCCTCTTGTATTAGCTGAAGTATAGTTACCTGTTGCCCCAATCTGGTTTTTTTTTTTTCCAAACACTGTTACAAACGTATAGTGGCAGATATTTTCCAGGTTGACTTCAGGCAGGAATACCAACATGCTACAAGCATTATAGATTAGTATAGCAGTCCATTCATCTTCATTTTTATTTTTAAGGTTCCGTCAGCAGAGGGCTTTTATTTTATTTATTTGTGTGTGTGTGTGTGTGTGTGTACTTCCTTTTTGTGTACATATTGTTCACTTAGAGGCCAAATTTATTTACATATTTAATAACATATCCTGCCAAATCAGTGGACTCAAGATGCCTTATAATAATCTCAAAAGCAATAACTATAAAATAACATTGTTAAAAATTAAGTTCATATACTAAAAATGTCCTTGGAACCCCTTCCTAAACTCCCCTGGCAAACTCCCATTTCTTCTCCATTTTGCTCACTCTGTGGTTTTGCAGAGGAAACACTTTGGTTTAATGGGTGCCAAGACTAGTGCCCTACCCCTGCGCTAAGAGTATAGAATGCATACTACAAATCTTCAGGCCTGTACTAACTCTGATGGTTGTACTTATATGAACATTGCTATTTGCCTTTTGAATTGATAGTAAGATAGGTACTTCCTTCTGCTTACATATCAATCTTTGCCCTGTAGCTGGGCAGATGGGCAAGAAGGTTTGTGGGGAAGTTGTCTGTTTTCACAGTGCAAGTAGAGAAACACAATCAGGGTGTGTGCGTGAGTTGGGGCTTGCTTCGCCCTTCAACGTTCAAGTAGCACTGAAAGGTTACTGTGCTGTATGCTTGCTTCCCCTAGCTGAAGAACACAGTGCTCAAGCCTAGAAATTCTTATTGTTTTTCTTCACTTAGTCTTGGTGCTTCCTTTGTCTTCCAGGTAGGGTCTTGGATTGGCTTTGCCATAATGACTCAGTGCCTTCCAGGTAAGTCCTGGTAATAGATTAGATCTTTGCCGTGGTCACCTTTAGTAAGAATTTTATTAAACAATATTTATGAAATATGTTTTTTTTAATTCTTTCCCTGGTCCTTCTCCATTTTTCTATTAGAATTGTTCTTCGTTGTCAAGTAGATTAGGGTCTATATATTTAAAGCAGAAGAAATATCTTGCCCTTTTCACTGAGGGGGGTACCAACATAAGATTACAAGAGCCCAGTAATTAGAGCTTCTGTCTCATAGTAAGCATCATCTCTTTCTTTATGAAAAGAGAAGCCAAGAGTTTTGCACTCTTCTCCCTGCTCTCTTCATTGCCTTACTTGTTTTCACTAAGACACATAGCAATTGAAGATGTTCTCATCCCATATGTGGTATAGGAGGTAATGATACTAAATGAAAATTGAATGCTATCTGTTGCTGGGATAGCAATGCTGAAGTTTACCTCCTCTTTTCCAAAATTTATTTGCCATTTGTTAAGGATGCTTTAGCTCTGGAGTTTTAAAAAATGAGCAAAATTAGGTAGTACTGCCCAAGACAAGTTATACTGTCTAGTTCAGTATAAGATCTTTGGTATTATTTTCTATTTCTGTAAAATTTCTTCCTTAAAAGATGTAATACATTTGGAAAAGGAGTCAGTGTTAAATGTTTCATTTTTATTCTGCCTTTCTGCCCAGAGGGAGGATGCTTTTCTGAATACCTAATAACGTTATCCACTTTTTTCTTTGTCAACAGTGGCTCTGTTTTCCTTGGTTGGATTTATTCAAATGACCATTTGGGCAAAGGGAAAACACCGAAGTTATCTGAAGGAGTTCCGGGATTACCCACCACTACGTTCACCCATCATCCCCTTTCTGCTCTAAGCCCCTTTCTGCACTAAAATATCATTCTGGGCTGGTAGTTTCATTTTTGTTTTTTATCTTCTTGAGCAGCTGTTATTGGAGTCTAAAACAGGATTTTCTTTCACTGTCTACACTGTGTTTTGAGGGAGGTTGTTGGAATTCCTTGCTTTTTAAAGTTAACTGCCCTTCCCTCCATCATCTTTGTCTTTACCTATTCCAGAGCTATATTCGACTTAAAATAACACTTCCCTACAGGCACCATGAAGACAAACACTGCAGCAGAGAACAGAGGGAACAATCCAATTTTACAGGGAAAAAAGTTTAACAGCTGCTAGGCATTATGTCTGTAAGAGCTGGTACCATAAATGAAGTCTAGGCAGCTGGACATTGGCCAAAAGTGAGTACTTAGGGTAGCAATCTTAGCTCTAGTCCTCACTAATGATAATTTTAGAAAAGTTGTCTACCCAAATTGTGCCCCACTATGGACTTGAAAGCAGAAAAATTCTTTGGGATGCATGGTGCCATTCCTAAACCAAATAGGTCTTTTCCTGGGATCATGCAGTGCAGCTGCACGATCCCAGGAAAAGGCATGGCTGCTTTAAGGAGTTACAGACTGATGCAGTGATCATGGTCCTGTGTGCTATGAAGCACCTTTTTGCATTTGCATTCAAAGCACAACACAGCCTATCAGCTCAGCTTTGGGCATTCTCCTAGTAGTAAATACTGTTATGGCTTTTTTTATTGTGGAGTGGTGCTTGATACTAAAAAATTGTAATTTTTTTTTCTGGTGGGAAGTAGACTGATTAAAATCAGTTGCAATGCTGCCTTCATCTCTTTTATAGGATGGCCTTGTATCCCTTTTTAGCCCTTGCTCAACTAGTAGGCACTGGTGCTTGAAACCAAAATTGAAAATGGCTCAATTGAATGACAATATGAATAATTTCATAAAGGCAGAATACATTATTTAATTATCCCAGTCATAGACTAAACTTATGACATGGCAAAGTTATCTGGGGAGTATTCCCTGCTGTGAAGCAAAGGAGGCAAATTAGTTATGATCCAGTAGTAGCTCTAGTGTTACATAGGTTGTTTCAGTCCTATCCACCAAACTGGCCCTTTGTCATCATCAAAAATCCTTTTCCTAGTAGAGTCTGATAAGCACTGAACAGCATCTGCTAGGTAGAAGTGTGTACTTTAAGTTCACTCAATTTTGGGTGATGGTAGAATAGGCCTTCTGTAGTCAAGAGAAGATGATCTTGAAATGCAGGTCTAACAAATACAGTCTTATGCCTAACTAGCAATAATTGTGTATCTTTCTGTAACACAGGCCTGCTGAAAGGTGTGTGGACATTACAAATGACATCAGGGCAACTATGGAGATATACAAGTGAAACTTTGATTTAATGGACCAGATGGGGGAGGGGGGTTGTTATTTCCAGTTGTCCATTAAATTGGAGAGTAAGTGATCAACAACAATGTAATTATGCAAATGTTGCAAATTATATCACTTGAGTGATTTATTCTGTTTGCATGATGTACTTAAAATTGCTCTGAGAAATTTTGGGGGGGAAATCCTGCTTTGAAATTTGACTTGTAACGATTTCTAGCACTAAAGAGATAAGGAAAGGCCTATTATTCCTCCTATAGAAAAATATTCAGTGTTACAGAACTGAAGCCTCTTAGGATTGGACTGCCTTCTTGAGAGGTTGTTGTTTATTTTTCTGTTTGTCATTGTTAGTAAGGTTGTGATACTACATACAGGTAGTCCCCGGGTTATGATGGCATTTGGGACCAGGATTGCCATTGCTAAGCAATGCAGTCGTAAAGTGTGACACCATGTGACCTCATCGCTTAGCAACGACAATCCTGGCAGTCCCAGTTGCCATCATAACCCCAGGATGGGTGGGTTGTTAAGTGGGAAACAGTGTGAGTCCCAGGTAAGGAACAGTGCGGGGAGGCCTTGGAGGGCTGGCACAGGCCGTGCAGGAGTTGGGGAGTGCTTGGGAGACCTGGTGCAGACTGTGCACGAGTGCAGGAAGACCGGGGGGGAGGGGGTGGAAGGTGTGGCAGGGCACGAGTGCAGGAAGGCTGGGGGGGTGGATGGCACAACAGGATGTGAGTGCAGGAAGGCTGGGGGTGGTGGATGGCATGGCAGTGCACAGGCACAGGAAAGCCGGCGGGGAGTTAACAGAGCCTCACGGATCTTCCCTGCTGGCCTTCCCCATTGATTTTGCTTGTGGGAAGCCAGCAGGGAAGGTTGGAAATGGTGATCATCTGACTGCAGGATGCTGAAACTGTGGTAAGTCCAAGCCGGTTGCCAAATGCCTGAATCATGATCATGTGACCGCAGGGCCACTGCAACGGTCGGTCATAAGTTCCACTTGTTCAGCCCTGTCGCAGTTTCAAACAGTTGCTGAATGAGTGTTTGGTATGTGAGGACTACCTGTATATTTAATTTGGAGGAAGCCCCATATGAAGTAGTGGGACTTGCTTCTAAACAAACATGTCCACAATCAAGATGAATGTTTGCCATAGTCTTAGATTATGCTGCATGTGAGCAGTGAGATATTGGAAATCTAGGCTCCAAGACTGCTGTTAAATGAGCCACTGACTTTTTGCTATAATCCATTTCATGTGGAACTTTATTTGAACTAACCAATAAATAATCCAGCCACTGGACAGTCTCAGATTGTTTTTTTTTTTTAAAGCATGGAAATTATACATTGAAGGACTTCTTTCATACCTTGAGCTAAGAATGGGCAGCCTCATGTTATATTCTGCGTAAGATCATTTGGTTTGAAATAATTTGGTCCAGGAACTATATAGTCTTATACTGACATTGCCATCCTGACATATAACAGTTGCATAAGGAGAATGGGACTGTGCTTGCTGGTTAGGAAGGTTTAAACTTAGGATTTGAAAGTCCCATGTGATTTGTGTTACAAATTTTGTCTGTAGGTTGATCACAGAATAGGGCTCCCAGTTCAGATTTGCTCACCTCAGTGTATAGACCAGGTGGCAGTGGGGTGAGCAAGGGAACAGACCACAGTGTATCACTCTTTCATGTGAAAAATGACACATCAGGTACATCAGGTAAATTGAATGAAAAAGCTTATCACTAAAGAACTGCACTTCCACAAGAAATATTTTGAACAACGTATTCTGAATTCAGTCATGTTCCCTGTTAACAGTGCCCAGCAACATAACATGCCTTTGGGTGCTCAAGTATTATAGAATGATTGCAGCTCATGTTTTACTCAGCTATAGATGTGCTTTTACCTCCAGAACTAAACACAAGTGAAATTGGATAGAACAGTGTCCTCCATTCCCAGAAGCCTACCCAATTGAAGGGGAGGATAAAAAGAATCCTTGAAATATACATGAGAAAGACTAACTTGAAAGAAAAGTCATCCCCACATGCCTTCTCCCTATGAAAAGCACATGCAGTTCATCAAAGAGCTATTTGGCAGAAGCATGATTGTGAAAGTTTACAAGAGATGAGAAATGCAGCGTGGGCACATTACACAAGAAACTTTCAAGGCCACAGGCAATCTGCTTATAAGCCCAATAGCTACATGACTGTTGAGTTACAGCAACAACTTTGCCATCACCACCAGCAGTAGCCCTTGCTTTGGTTATATTGTCACCTGTAGCCTGTATTACTGCTCGGCCTGGGTAAGAAGAACCATATTCTTGGATGTTCTTTCCAATTGGTCCCAGAGGTTTTTGGAGGGGCTGGGTGGAATATTGGGCCCTGGCCTGGTGTAAATGGCTTCTTTAATAGGAAACACTAAAGAGATTCACCCCTTGGTGAAGGGAGCTATTTCAGGTATGAAGTGAAGGCTAGGACAGGTTATATTTTGCACTGCTTCTCCCTTTATGTGTAATATTACGGGAAGGCTTGAGGGGGCTTCAGTTAGGATAATTTCAGGTAGAGGGACATATGTTGGGGAGTAGCATATTGAGATGTGAGATACTTGCGTCTATCTCCACTACTGGTTACTTCTTTAAACATACAGTACTGCCTTTGTTTCTGCCCTGCTGGTGCTGTTACGAAATGTCAGATTGGTGAATAATAAAATCTGAGCACCCTCTACCATGGTGCAGAGCTTGTTCACCCTCTAGTACACATTTCAGCTAGGCTATACATTAAGTTGGGAGGTAACTAAAAAGCAGGTTAGAGAAACATCCCAAACTTGATCAAATTCCAGATACATTACTGAATACTTTGTATTGGTGAGGGAAGATCAAAGAGATTTTTCCCCTCCACTTTGCATCTTTCCCATGGAGCTTTTCTCAATTACTCATGGCTTTTGGGGGCCTGGCCTAACTAGAGATATATAGAACCCTTGTTTGCTATATATTTTGAAAGCAAAACCTATCAAGATCATCATGACTTAGATGAACTTAGCAGTTCAATAAGTAGAAGTGTCCGGGGCCCTATCTGGTCAGGTTTTGTTTTTTTTTAATGAGTTTCAGTTTTTAAAGCCTGAAGATGTGGACAAGGTGCCTAATTGAGTTCTGCTAAGTATATATTCACTTGCCCAATGGTTTATCATATCTACTACAAAGGAGTATTCAGCTGAGTCCAGTTTATACATTTTGTCCTACAAGGAGTGATCCCAGCCTCATAAAAAGAGGCCATTCCTTTAAAAAAAAAAAAAACACCTTTAGACTCAGAAAGTCTAAATAATTATCTAGTGACCAAATCTTCCTGAGCAAAGTATTTAAGTGTGTAGTGGCTGATCAGAGTCAGACAAAATAGATTTTCCAGGTCAATTCAGTAGGGGTTTTGGCTTGGCTTTGGCACTGAAACTATTTCAGTTGCTCCGTTGGATCTTTGCCAAGAAAGACGGGGTATTACCATGTTGATTGTCCTGGACTTCTCAATGGCTCCTGAACCCACCAACTCTGGTATTCTGGGAGAGGTTGTCCAAGCTAGATATAGGTGGAACAGCCTTCGAATGGCTCCACTCATCCATGGATGGTCATTTCCATAAAGTATTGCTGGAGGATTTCCGCTTGACTCCATGGTGCTAATGTTATGGGGTTCTGCAAGGTTCTATTTCTCAAGTTGATTAATGTGTACACTAAAGCATGTGGATAACACATGGTACAGTGATGACACATTTTTCTTTCCTTTTTAGACCCAAGGGAAGCAATGAAATTGCTAATCAGTGCCGGGCTACAGTACTATAATGGACTGGCTGGGGCCAAAAAACTGATGCTCAGTCCAAACAAGATAAAAGTGCTATTAGTGAACGATTTATCTATCCAGGCAAGCGATGTTCAGTCTGTTTCAGATGAGGTAGCATTCCCCCTGGAAGATGAAATTCATAGAGATGCTTCTATATATTCATCTTTGACATTGCAGGCACAATTGTCCTCTGTGACACAATTGGCATATGGCACCTTCACCAGCTCAGACTGGTGTGCCAGCTATGACTCTACTTTTATAGAGATAGCCTCACTACAGCAGCCTATATCCTGGTAACTTCTAGTTCACATTCTGGCAGTGTACATACATTGTACTGAACTGCTCTTAAAGATGGTGTTGAAATTTCATTTAGTATATTGGCAAGAGTACTACCCAGAACTGGTTGGTATGTTCATAATATGAATTTTGCTGGCTCCCAGTTAATTTCTGGTCTCAGTTGAAGATGCTGGTATTAACCTATAAAGCCCTTCACAACTTGGGACCAGAGTATCCAAAGGAATGCCCTTCATTATACTACTGGTACTCTGAAGTCACCTTCAGAGAGCTTACTCCAAGTACCTTCCCATGTTGAGGTGCAGTGAGTGGCTACCTGGGAAATTTGAATCTTGCCTGAAACTGCTACAAGGTCCCCATCCCCCCCATGGGAAGCAGAAAATGCTTCAGATAAATAATAAAGGAATTCAATCAGAATGTACTATCTCCAGACCTGCAGCCTTGGATCCTGCCTCACTACTACTTACTTCGCACAATGCATGGCAGTTCCTGTGTGTATAGAACAATCTACTGGCCTTTGGACTCCAGCATTCATAATTTCCAACTACTGTAAAAGGATCTTTGGGTATGAAGAGGTATAAGTGCACAGAATGTGCACAAACTTAACATTCAAAAGCAGCTGCCTTCAGCCACAATGAAATAGACTGAAAGCTTATGTTGCTGAATACAAAGAGAATAGGTAGCTAAATGGACCTAACTAGACTCATCTCTGGCAGAATTGCCAGAACTGGCAACATTAGGATTCCCAAGAACAAGATACTTCAGATCCTTGACATTTATGAACATTTATTAGCTGTAGGTCCAAAATGTGCATTCATTTCATCGTAGGAACCTCAGGGAACATTTGAGACCCAACTGTGGCATAATGTTTTTATGTTTTCAATATATCAAGTCCAGAAGTTTCTTCTGAGAGGAGGCAGGAGAAGCACCCAAAACTAGTTAGGATTCTGCTCTTGCCTTTTCTTCAATGCGCTTCTTCCTAGCCAGCAAACGCCGTTCTCGTTCAAATTCCTTCATGCGCATGACATAGCTAACACAAAGGATACAAGTATAAGTCAGTTCAAAGCTGTTGGTCCTACTAAGCCATGGTTTTTTTTGCTGCATGTTAGTTGGCTTGAATGCCACAACTTTATTCCTCATTTACTTTCATATTTAGAGTACGAGACATTTTACCAAGTAGGTAGATATCCCTCCCCAGACTTATCTTCTGCAATCAGGGTCTCAGTGCAGGTATTTATTTTTCTTAATTTCTCTACGAATGCTAGAGGAGAATGGAATAACTATCTATTTGTGATTTACCCTCATGCACATAACTTTGCTTAGAGACTAAAATGATTATGTCTCTTTTCCATCAAGGCTTATCAGTATTAAGGAAAAACTAGTTAGTTGACTACCGTGACCTCTTCGCTATTCACATCATGGAAGGGTTTATAATCTCCCATCCCACCCCAACACACTGTGCTACTTTTTCCAAGTCTTGTTGAATTTTTATGGCGGGAATAGGATAAATTTCATAGCAGAATTACAGGGATATTTACGGGCAGTGACTTCTAATCCAGGCCAGTTTCTAATTTCTGAAACACAGTTAATTTACAGAGTAAAGAAGCAAAGTCAAAATATAGCAATGTATCAGAATAAAGGCATAGCTCTGACTTACTCCAGATGCTCACAGTACTTCCACTGATGCTCCTCATGTTTGCACCCTATGATGGAATTAGGAAATTTGTCACGTTTGCACTTCTGCCACATTATGTAATGATGGGCACAATAATCCCGGAACTTGAAAGGAATCTGGGCATCATTCATCTGTTTATGTGTTGCTACCATCACTGTAGGAGAAAACGGAAGGAGGAAAAGATGGAAATAAGGGAGATTAAAATCTAAATGGAAGTTCATTGAGATCAACCATTTGGAATTCTCTTACAGAAGCTGCAAAAGGAAAGGTGTCTTTTGAAAGAATGTTCACCCAGTTAATTTAGAGAACCTGTTCTATTAACATTCACAGACCACACCAATGTGATGAGGAATTATTGATGAGTGTTCTTTGAGTATGATTGTGAAACCAGCTATGCAATCATTCAGATATGATGCCATCCAGCCCATGCTTAACTAGCTTACTAATAAGAATGTCATAAGATATTCATTAAGTGCTTTGCTGTATTATGTCTACACCACTCCCACAATCTATTAAATAAGTTACTCAATGAAAAAATTAGGTTAGTCTGTCAAGATGTACTTGTCAATGTTTTTATTATTGACTTGGACGAAGAAGTGAAAGGAATGTTTACTGAATTTACAGATTACATAAAACTGGGTGGGATAGCGAATACCCTAGGAAACAGAAATATAATTAAAAATCTTGGGTTAAAGCAGTGTTTTGCAAACTTTTTATAACTGTGATCCACTAAATAGCATGTAGGATATACAAGGACCAAACAAACAAATACACCTACCCTACATTTTTGTCTTTAAGAGCATGGGAGTTGCATATTTTGGGGAAAATAAGATAATGATTATAAATGCATTTAAATATGCTTTCCTATCCTCTGTATTTTTAAAGGCCTTTTAAAACTAAATTTTGTACAAAAATTGTTTACCACTTGATTTTTTGTGTTCTATTCCATAACAGCATTAGCACATATTTGCTGATAAAATGTTCTTCATCTGCACTTCAACAGCACTTAAGACCTACTCACTATTGTCAGACTTCTGAATTTTAATACAAACATTGTAACATGTATTATCACTCATTTGCTTCAATAAACTACTTTTCAGCCACTGATGCATTGTTATGAATTAGCTGACTGATGATGATCAGGAGGAGGCAGGAAAGTGAGGATAGAAGCAACAAGTAGCCTCTGGCCAGATGACTGGGGTTAATGTGGGGATGGACTATCTGATGGATCACCACAGAGCACTGGTTATCTGCAGTTTGAGAATCACTGGGTTAGAGAAATGGGCTGAAAGTAATAGAATGAAATTTAACACAGACAAATGCAAACATCTTCACTTATGAAAAAAAAATGAACAGGTATAAGATGGAAAATATTTGTAATAGTACTTGTAAAAAAGTCTAGTGACTAGCCAAAGGGAGCCAATGAGCTTCATGGCTGAGGGGGGATTAAAACTGTGTCTCCAGAGTCCAGCACTGTTAAGGGTTACATCATATGGCTGTTCCAGTTATACAGATTTTTTATTATGTTTAAATATCAGGAATGTAAGTACTGCAAGCTACCCTGAATTGTGTGCATAGTAAATATAAAAAGATGGGACTGAAACATTGTTTATCTGTCTTCCACTGCTGGAAGTTAGGTGGACTAACTTCAACTCGCACTCATCCTGTTTAGAAGGTTGTGGGAATTCAACCCATCTTGAGGATACCAGAATGGGGAAGATCCAAAGCTTAGATCTGAGAACCTCATATCAATATATTCCAGGCAAGTACACCATTGCCTTACTCTATATACAGTTTAAGTGCACCCAGGATATTCTGTAATATGATCCTGTTACTGGCTGCATACATGAATACAGCAAGAAGCCTCTAACCAGTTTTGTGGACAGGAGGAGAACAATAATCTGCACCCAGGCTAGTAATCAATTTTATTATGGTCAATGACTAATAGTCATATGAAAGCTAATAAAACTCACTATATTTCAGTCCAGCCTATTTCAAAGACTTGTTGTGAGGATATAAACATAACAACCAAATAAGCAGGCATGGCTGTGAGAGAGGATTCAATTCTGGCAGGAATTTCTCCCATTGTTTTTCCCTGCCCGGTATGTTCTGGCAGAGTGGGTGCACTCCAGGTGTCTTCTATTAAAGACTGTCACCTTGTAGGACCTAGGAAGCAGGTCTTCTCTATCAGGGCCTCCACTCTTTGGAACAGCATCCCCCCCAGAGATAAGGATGGCACCCTCTCTCCTGGGGTTCTGAACAGCCCTTAAAACCTGGCTTTGGTCCCAGGCCTGGGGTTGATGGGTTGGGGGGGGGTTGTGTTTGAATGGTTGTTTTTAGTCTAGGTTATCTTGTTAAGCTTTGTTTGTTTTAATCTAGGATCATATTTTGTAAGCCACCCAGAGTCCACTGGAATGGGTGACTACATTAAATGTATTTATTTATAATACAAAAGGTAGAAAGGAAGCATCCAGTGGGTGCCCAAAATGTCACTTAGTTCTCACTCTAGACAGACATTTGCAGATAGAATCCGCCAGATTTCTGTCCAATGCATTGATTAGGCGCTGATCTTCTTCTAAAGAGCTGAGAAAAACACATGCATCACTCGCCTGCTTTGCCTTGTGAGAAAGGGTAGGATGAATGAGGGTTGGACAACGCTGCCCCAACTCCTTTTTCTTAGCCACCACACCGAATTAGCTCTCAGCAGCAACATAAACTACGCCTCACGTAGGCAATCCGGGTGAGAAAGAGGCAACCTGGGGAAGATCCGCGGCGTCCCCCGGGGAAGCGCAGGAGAGGGGAAAGAGAACCACTCTGGGGGAAGCCAGAGGACGCGGCCGGGGAAAGAGCTGCAGACAAGGCCAGGAGCGCCTGGCACCCTCTGGATCCCAGCTCCCACCTGCCAAGCTGCGCGAGAAACGCGCGGCGGCTTTGCAGCCAGCCCCGGAGAGCTCCGGGTTGCAAGCCCAGAAGGACTAACAGAGCGAGAAGGGCGGAGCGCAGCGCGGGGTGACCTTTCTTCCTCTCGACCCGTTCCGGCCCTGCTCACCGCGTTCCTTGCGCTCGGGGAAGCCAAAGAGGGGGTCGAAGGCGGGCGCGCCGGACGGGTCGGGCTCCAGCTCCGACTCCCCCCAGTACCGGCGGGCTAAATGAGCCCCCATGACCGCCGCGGACTCCGTCCCAGGTACGGCTGACTTCCGTTCGCTTCTTCTCCCCCGGAACCGGAACCACGCGCGGAGTCCGCTTTGAAGCGCTCGACTGGAGGCGCGGGAGCGAGGAGGGCTTCTTCGCTGCTTTGGCAGGTCGTGGCCGAAGCCCGGACAGTTGGTTGTAGCCGGCTGGTCCTCGCTTTTCAGCGCTCCGGACCAGAAAAAAACTGCAGGAGGACTTCCGTTTGGCCGTCATTGGGCGCCTGCAGATTCACCCGACAGCGGGGAGGGGGGAGGAATCCCGAACCTTAGTGCAATTTTTAATTTCCAGTGATTTATTTATTTCTTTTCATTTGTCAGCATTTAAAGCCTTGTCAAGACACATCAAGGTGAAAGTGCTATTATAATCCTTGGGCCGCGTGTTGAGGAAGGCTGTGAGAAAATGACATGTATATTGCAGATCAGGGGTCCATTTGAGTTGGAAGTGTCATTTATCTGTGGAAGCCATGCAGGAAAAGTAGTTTGCAACAGCCCTATACCATTACTTACAATTAAAATTCAATTGTGTATAGTAAGATTGCAGCTTACGGACATGTCCTAAGTTTAAATTTGAAAATAAAAGGAATATCTCAAAAACAGGTCAGGAATTCCTGTGTTTCTGGCTGCCTTATTAATAAGCCTTTGAGCTTTTCTGATGTTCAAGAGGTTGCCTAGGGTGAGTTCGGAGGTATAATCTTTATTGTCTTGAATCAAAAATTGGGAGGAACCTTCCAATGAAGCATTGTTGATGGTGTCAGCATTTTTAGAAACGATCCTTTTTGTGCAATTATCCTACTAAAATCTGCAGGTGATTATCCTCCGACTGGAACTATAAGATACCAGTATGAGGCGCAGAATCAAAATGGCTTTGCCAAGTGGTTCTGTGGACTGAAATCAAATGAAAAGAGCGCAGGGAGGAAAATGGCAAAGTGCAAAATGATCCAGAGTTTTAAAAACAGAATTCTATATCTCTTAGCGAATACAACAGTTTCCATTTTACTTTAAGTGCCCACCCACCAACCCGCTCTGCCTGCATTTCAGCAAAGTGGTGGGGACAGTGAAAACAGTCACAGTGAGCAAGTGACAAAGTTGTTCGTGCAGGGGGCTGGCTTGATGGAGAAGAAACTTTATTTGTGAAAGGTATACCGTGTATATGAGCTATCACTAAAAATCCCTCTTGGACAGAATTATCTAGGTAGCCAAGGCAACATGTGTGCTGATCTTAATTACCCACACAAATAAGCATTACATGAGGATACTCTACCAAACTTGGAAAAAAGGAACCACTTGGATCAGGAGATACATACAAGGAAATCAGTGTACATAGACCTGTTCCTTCTCACAAACAAAGCTAGCTTTTGTATCACAGTGAATGTCATTCCAGTTTCCCTCTTTATATAAGACAGCACAATCTTCACCAGTTGTCCCACTATCACTGGGTTCACCTTGTCTCCAGAACCTGAAAATAGGACAGAGTTAATTCTTTTTTTAAATTCTGCTGATTGCAATGGCATATTCCTTTATTAAGAATCTATACTACCTGGGTAGATGATATTACACAAAGTATAATAAAAAACCTGCACACTATTGGCAAACTAAGTACTGATTGAAGGAGTGTTTCCTTTTGTTCCTGCCAGTCACCTTCAGTGGACTGGATAACCTCTGGTGTTATGAGAGAAAATTCTTCCTATCCATTTTTTTCCATAACATGTATAATTTCACAGGTATCTTCTATGTCCTGTTCATCCATCTAAGTTCCAGACTTAGTAAATAGGAAGAATCTTAAGTAAATAGGAAGAATTAAAAGATAATCCAGTCCTCCAGAAAGAACACAAGGGGGTGTTAGACTGTTCCATAATGAGACAAGATAGGAGAGTTCCAAATTAGTTTTACCAATTATGAGAAGGTTCCTACTATGTCCTCTTGGACATTCCTGAATTAACCACCTTTGATCCATTACGGAAGTCAGGTGTTTTCATTGGCCGAGGCTTCCACCATTTCCAACTTTTATAATATCCATTCTAAATTGTGACAACCTGGACTGGGCATGATATTCTCTGTGTACTGAGGTTGTCATCCTCTGAACAGTTTGGGAGCTGCTGGTAATTAAGTGGGTGCAATTTTCTTCCAGGCTCCAACTTTTAGTTGATTGTTTTATATGTTTGTACAATGATTACACTGCTTTTTATTATTTACTACTGATTTTTTATTGTTAATCACCTTGGGGATGAAAAAAGTAAATGACTGAATACTCTGCTTTAATGCCTGCAAAAGAGCTGAAGCTAGAGAAAATATGATTCCAGATAGCTCAGTAAGCAAATTTCTAATCTGTGTGACTCCTGGATCAAGTCCTAGAATCCCTGACTTTGCTGGACCACCCCAACATGCCTTTTTCCATAAGAGGTTCAACAAAAAGAAACAGCTATGTGTATGTTCATATACATATATATATACCCCTTTTCCAGTGGTGATCCGTCAACCCAGCGCCAGGTTCCCTCTTCCTCTGCATCATTTAAGCCAAGCCAGATGGAGTATTCTATGTTCTGAATCACAAAATCCTAGGGGGAAACATCTCTGTTCAAATGTCATGCAAGTATAATCTGCAGTTTGCCTATTTATCTTCCTTCCTTCCTTCCTTCCTTCCTTCCTTCCTTCCTTCCTTCCTTCCTTCCTGCTGTACGGCCAAGGC